ACGCACGATGAGCTCCTGTGTCCTTCAGCGCAATATTTACCCGTATTCTCTCCGGATGCACCCCATCATCTGTTTCCTGATTCAATGGAGCGACATCTCGATATCCAATTTCGCTTGCTCAGGGAAGAACTTATGTGAGTCTACCATGTTTGTGGTCTCCTACCTGTTTACTGACTTGCACGACAGTGCGCCCATCCGGGGCTCGATCGTCACAATTGACAATGACGTCACCACGATGCTGCAATCACAAGGACGTGCTCGCAGGAAAACCGAGCAGACGAAGCTCGAGCAGTTGCTTACCAAGGGCGGCGGAGCATACAAGACAAGCGGGTTTGATTCTGTCTTCTTCCGTGTCTACGCCAACGCCGAATTTTGCCCTGTGAAGGCGGAGCGACGCGACCTCACTGTCGGACTGATGCTCGATACCCCGCCGAGCGGCGCCGCTCGGGATAAGGACGCAAAGAAGCGCGAAGCATACTGGGAGCACAGCCGACTGTTGCAGGGCGGGAGCCTCGTCGTGCTTTGCGTCGTGGAGAACGCGCGCTTGCAGGCATACCTGGGCACGATCAGCTCTGGCGGGCGGGACATTGCGCAGTCGGCCAAGGACGCGCAAGACAGGATCCAGGTCCGGATCACGTTCTTCGACCCTCAAGTCGAACTAATGGCGCTGCGCAAGCAACGTGTAGCGGACCGGCTCATGTTTGTTGTCGACAACGACGTCATGTACGAAGCGTCGCGGCCGTTCCTCGAGCGCCTGCAGACGATCGAGCCGACGGAGATCCCGTTCGCGCGTTACCTTGCGCATGGCGGCACCCTCACCGACGTGCAGGTCCTCCCGCCAAAGTATGCCACGGCGCCGCGCTTCCGGTTCAAGCTCAGCTGTATGGCGAAGAAGGGGAGCACGGTCCAGGACTTGAGCATCACGCAGGAGGGCGGGGTCGCTCTGGCGCGCGCGGAGCTACTGGCGCATAGCATCCTCGATCCTTCGCAAGTAGAGGCGGTCATCAACACGCTAGTCCGAGAGGTCTCGCTGATACAGGGGTAAGTAGACGACCTGCCCTATAGTCAGCTGGTGTTAATGACCTCTATGTTCATAGACCTCCTGGGACAGGAAAAGTGAGTCATAGCACTTTACATCTTATACTTTCTGATCTTCCTCCTTCTCATAGAGCTTTACTGGCCGAGAACTTCTACGCATTTTGATTGCCAGCGGTGTCCGCCCCATCAGTACGCGAATTGACTTCCTCTGCTTGCTCTCATACTCAAATGGCTGTAGTCCTTATCGCTTACACAAACCATGCATTGGACCATATGCTCACCGACGTGCTGGACTCAGGCATCACCCAGAAGCTTGTGCGACTCGGCTCTCGCTCAGGATCCGAGCGCATCGCGGAATACACGTTGGATAAGCTCGAGCGCATAGCGGGCAAAACAAGCCTCGATCGCTCAATAGGTCGGCAATACAGAGTCATGAAGGGACTTGAGGAAGAGATGTCGAAGGTGATGGCCGCCATACAAGAGCCGTCCCTAACTGCGGAGGAGATCGAGCGATACTTGCTTATCCACTACCCGGAACACGCAGAGAATCTTGCACTGCCGCCGTACTGGATCCAAGAGCTGGCGCAGCGTCACTGGCAGGACGTTTCAGAACAAGGGGAGTGGGTCACTGCCGGAAAAGACGGCAAGGCACAAGCGAAAGTGGAACAGGAGCAGAACATGTACAGGTTCTGGACGGAGTGTCTCGACTTGCAATATCTTGTTCCGCAAGTGCAGACCCCGGGTGAGCCACCTCAGGTACCACCTATGGTCCAAGAGCTCTTCTTCGAGCTCGGCTTCGGCGAGGCATTGCCCCCGATCCCGACGGCCCAGCGGCCCCTCAGCACGCTGCTCGATATTCCAGCGATATGGTCGATGTCTCCAATTGAGAGAGCCGAGCTCGCAGCAGCTTGGGAGGAAGAGGTTCGCTCCCTCGCGTACAACACGAATCTCGAAGAGTACGAAAAGCTGCGTCAGTCATATCGCGAGGCCTGCCAGGAATACAACGACATCCGCGACGAGGTACGTGCTAAGTGTTTCTCCAGATCTCTCGGCTTACAAATTGATTGCAGACAAGAAGGCGACTCTTGAGCGAGGTAGACCTCATTGGCTGTACAACTACTGGTACTGTTACTCCACTTTCGCTTGAACCCACTCTGATTTTTCACAATCTTGATCAGGGGCGGCAAAACTAGTATCTTTGTTAACTGTATGCGCTCTCCTTTCGCGTGGCGAACGATTGTTGATGGTCGAATCTTCCCGCAGAGCATTGCCCCTCGTGTGCTTATGGTGGAGGAGGCGGGACAGGTCCTCGAAGCGCATATCTTGACGTCTCTGGTCTCGTCCGGTGCGCCATAGCACATTGATTTTTCTCGAATGCACCGACTGATACATTTTTAGTCCATCACCTGATATGCATCGGAGATCCTGAACAACTGCGGCCCACACTAGCGACATTCGGTGAGCCAATTCAACATTCGTGCCGCTTCCCCGTTCTTACAATCTCATTTAGCTTTGTCGATGGACAGCGAGCGAGGCAAAGAACTATTCAAGTTTGACCGCTCTTTGATGGAACGTCTTGCAATTGAGCATCTCCCGATGACCCAGATCAGTGTTCAGCGGCGAATGCGCCCCGATATCTCTCACTTCATCAGGTATGTAGTGACCCGCTTGCGCTGAGCAGGGGTAATAAGTGATTTTACAGGACTATCCTGTATCCGGAGCTGCAAGATCATGAAATTGTCACTCAATATCCGCACGTACAGGGCATGCAGAAGGACGTATACTTCCTGAATCATACCAACGCTGAAGGAGGCGCCGAAGACTCTGCATCCAAGTTCAACATGTACGAGGTAAATGTCGCCATGACTCGAAGGTCCAATATCGTTCTTACACGCACACAGGTGCAGATGGTCCGTGACCTTGTTCTGTACTTCTTGCGACAAGGGGAGTACAGTGCACCTGGCGATATTGCAGTACTTTGTGCATATCTCGGGCAGCTCCAGAAAGTTCGGCTGGCGTTGCGAGACCTTAAGATAACGGTTGCTCTCGATGAGAGGGACGAGCAGCAGTTGGCACACCAGGGGCTGGATGAAGAGGTCAACTTCGAACAGGTCGTGGTCGCTAAGCATGTGCGTAACATCGTTGATTTATATCCCCATACAGCTTGAATTAATCGCCACGTCTGCAGATTAGCTTAGGCACCGTGGATATCTTCCAAGGCCGTGAGGCGAAAATTGTGATCGTCTCGCTGGTTCGAAATACAGGAACCTTCGAGACAGAATCGGCACCCATCGGCTTCTTGAAGGTGAGACTACAGCGCACATCATGCAGCAGACAAAACTGTAATACTTTTCTGCAGAGCTCAAATCGAATAAATGTTGCACTATCTCGTGCAAAGCACGGCCTCTACGTCCTCGGAAATGCCTCTAACCTGCGGAAGAACAAGACCTGGTCGACAGTCCTTGACGAGATGGAAACCCACGGACAGATCGGACCCGGCTTCCGATTATCTGCCCCCGCCACCCCGATCAAGTGCAAGTAATTTCCAAGCCCGGAGAGCTTAAGCGATTTGCTCCGGCCGGAGGATGCTTGCTGCCGTGCGGTAGCCAGTTGCCATGCGGCCACATCTGCCCCTCTGTCGTAAGGCTCTTTTCGACCTTTCAGAGCGTTTTACCTAACGTCAAACTATTTTATCCAGTGCCATGACGCCCGCGATAACCACCGCAGTACGGAGTGCAACGAGCCCTGCGCGAAGACACCGTGTCCACGAAGCCACCCCTGCCAACGGAGGTGTTTCGAGGACTGCGGTGACTGCAAGTTCCCTATCTACAAGGTGCCGCTTCCTTGTGGTCACGAGAAGGCTCAGGTACCTTGGTACGTGCCTTTGTATCGCCGTAGCTCTTGTCGTGCTGACTGGGAACAGCCACCTTCTTGAGAAGCTTGACGATATCAAGTGTAATGTACAAGTTGTCAAACGTCTTCCGCGTTGCGAGCATTCAGCGGCTATGCCCTGTCACAAGGATCCCGCCAAGCACAAGTGCCAAGAGCTCTGTGGAGGCATACTCGACTGCTGCGGAAAGACTTGCAAGTCGCGCTGCAATGAATGTCTCGATAAGACTGTCTATTCCACGAACATCCCGGGAACGATTGGTAAAGTGGTGCGTTCCGTCCACGCCAAACATCCTTGCGAGCGTCCCCTGTACTGCCATCATCCCTGCGGTCTTGACTGCGAGAAGGAACACCGTTGCAATCGTTCTTGCCAGCAGGCCTGCCGCCAGCAATGCAGTCATCAGAAGTGCTCTAAGTCTTGCTCTGTGCCTTGCCCGCCTTGTATGGAACCGTGCACCTGGAGCTGTCCTCATCACGCATGCCCTGTGACGTGTGGATCGGTGAGTACCTTGTCTGCCGTGACTGCGACTGAGACTCATGTAGTGATTGTAAGATTTGCTCCCGCTTGCCGTGTGACGAGCCGTGCAACAACACATTGAAGTGCGGCCACCCATGCCCTTCGAGTACGAGTTTGTCCGGCCGTGTCAATATTGAATTCTGACGATTTTGGGATACGCAGTGTGTGGAGAGCCTTGCGGCGTTCAACTATGCACGACTTGTATGCCGGCGGACCGCAAGAATGACGTCGTGGACTTTATCATGCAACGCACTCTTGGCGAGCTCGACACCTCTTCTACGGACACCTCAGAACGCCTCGTCGCTCTTGCCTGCAAGCACGTCTTTACGGTAGAGACGTTGGATGGGCATTGCCGAATGAACGACTTCTACATGATCGACGAGATGGGCCGATACCTGTCGACGAAGGAGCCGCCCTCTGCATATCAGCTTCCACCAACTTGTCCGACCTGTCGAGGTCCGATTACCTCTCCACGATACGGGCGGGTTACTAAGCGTGCCACTCTCGATATCCTGGAACAGAACGTCGCGAGCACGATGTCG